TATTCTTGTCTCTCATTTAATAACAGTCATTTCCCTTGTGTCTCTAGCTGGATTGCCTGGGGATTAGTGCAACCCTTCGCTGGTGGTGTCATAAAATAAATGGCTTTTTCTGATAAGTAAAGAAGTCTTCCATGTATCTGAAAGGATACGAAAATGCAAAAAAAGGAACAGCCAGTGGCAAGTTCAGGCATAGCTACTGTTTCCCAAATTTCAAGGGAAGAAACCTGGATAGTGTTTTGTTTGTTTGTTTTTTCTGAGACAGAGTCTTGCTCTGTTGCCCAGGCTGGAGTGCAGTGGTGTGATCTCAGTTCACTTCAACCTTCACCTCCTGGGCTCAAGCAATTCTCCTGCCTCAGCCTCCCGAGTAGTTGGAATTACAGGCACCTGCCACCACACCTGGCTAATGTTTGTATTTTTAATAGAGATGGGGTTTCACCATCAGATGGTCTCGAACTCCTGATCTTGTGATCTGCCCACCTCAGTCTCCCAAAGTGCTGGGATTACAGGCATGAGCTACTGTGCTTGGCCGAAACGTGGATAGTTTTAAAGTCTTTGTAGGTGCTATGGATTGAATGTGTCCCCCAAAAAGCATATATTAGAAACTTAATCTCCAATGCAACAGTGTTAATAGGTGGCACCTTTGAGAGGTAATTAGGTCATAAAGGCTCCACCCTTATGAACAGACTTATGCCAATTATAGAAGGACTTGAGGCTGCAAGTTTGATATCTTGCTTTCTTGCACACATGCTCTCTTGTCCTTCTACCTTCCCCCATGGGATGATGTAGCAATGTTTTAGAACCAACAGGTTTATGTGCTGGATGCGCAGTTACAGAATGAGGTAGCAGAGTTTGCAGCAGAGAGAGTTTAATGATTACAGTGCACCAAGCAAAGAGATGGGAGGAGACTCTCAAATTCATCTCCCCAAGGACTTCTGAGCCGGGGTTTTTAAGGGAATCATGGGGAATGAGGGGCTGGAAAATGGAAGTCATTGGCTATGGTAAAAGAAATGAAATAATCAAGACATGGAAACTGCATTATTTAGTGAGTCAGCTTCTTGTGGGGTTCTTCAGACCAGCTGGTGTCAGTGGTTTCATTGGTATGCAGGACTTAACAGAATATCTCAAAGATGAAAACTTAATGTTTTATAATGTTCAAGTTGTTATCTATAAAGCAGGGGTCTCCAACCCCCCAGCTGTGAAGTGGTACTGGTCTGTTAGAAGCCAGGATGTACAGCAGGAGGTGAGCAGCGGGCAAGCAAGCATTACCACCTGAGCCCTGTCAGAGTGGCAGCATTAGATTCTCATAGGAACACGAACCCTGTTGTGAACTGCACATGATCTATGTTGCTAAGGGGTTGAGGTTGCTGGCTCCTTATGAAAATCTAACGCCTGATGATCTGAAGTGGGGCAGTTTGATCCCAAAACCAACCCCAACCCTGGTCTGTGGAGAAATTGTCTTCCACAAAACTAGTCCCTGATGTCAAAAAGGTTGGGAACCGCTGCTACAGAACATTTAAGGGGAAATATAATCTTGTAACAGGGTCTATGTAATTCTGAGGCAATAGGCAGCAAATAACTATGAGGCAACAGGTTAGGGAGAGCAAGCTGACCTAATAATTCATGCAGAATGCGCTGCAAACCTGGTATATTTTTGTTTTTTTCCCTTTTCTTCTTCCCTGATTAATTTGTAAAGTTTATAGGCATAATTTTCAGTAAGAAGGCCCTCACCAGATATGAGCCCCTCAACCTTTGACTACCCAGCCTCTAAGACGGCAAGAAATAAATCCCTGTTCTTTATAAATTACCTAGTCTTGAGTATTCTGTTACAGCAGCACAAAATAGGCTAATACAGTAAGTTTATAATCTCTTCCCTTAATAACCTGGCCAGGTCCAGCATGCTCTTCACAGCCTGTGACTGATTGGCCAACAGCATGACATCACATGGCAGAGGATGGCACTGATGAGTGCTGTGCTCATCTTCACCATTTGGACATGGTTGTAAAATTCCATCCCTTCTCCTTTTTTGCTGGTCCTGAGGAAGTGGTTCTCAAATATCAGTGTGTTTGGTGTGTACCTGAATATATTGCACTTTCCTTCCTTCCTAATTGCTGAAGTTGCCCTTAGAGGTATTAAACAAGCCCATTGTGCAGCAGCCACTGTGGACTGAGCACAATCACATGGATTCACTGCTCATGGTTATTGTTTCTCCCCTCCCCTCCCCTCCCCTTCCCTGCCCTCCCCTCCCTTCCCCTCTTCTTTTCTCTTTGAGACAGAGTTTTATTCTAGTTGCCCAGGCTGGAGTGCAATGGTGCCATCTCAGCTCACCAGAACCTCTGCCTCCGGGTTTAAGCGATTCTCCTGCCTCAGTCTCCTGAGTAGCTGGGATTACAGGCATGAACCACCACATCCGGCTAATTTTGTATTTTTAGTAGAGACAGGTTTCTCTATGTTGGTCAGGTTGGTCTTGAACTCCCAACCTCAGATGATCTGCCAGCCCTGGCTTCCCAAAGGTGCTGGGATTATAGGTGTGAGCCACCACACCCGCCCATGTTTATTGTTTTTCTTTTCTTTTCGAGACAGAGTTTCGCTCTTGTTGCCCAGGCTGGAGTGCAATGTCAACTACCTTTACTTGTTGCCCAGGCTAGAGTGCAATGGCAACTACCTTTACTTGTTGCCCAGGCTGGAGTGCAATGGCAACTACCTTTACTTGTTGCCCAGGCTGGAGTGCAATGGCAACTACCTACTCTGCTCCCTTGGCACTACCTTTACTTCTCTTGGCCATTCCTTTTTGCCCTCCACCTCCTGGGTTCAGGCAATTCTCCTGCCTCAGCCTCCTGAGTAGCTGGGATTACAGGCACGCGCCACCATGCCCAGCTAATTTTTTGTATTTTTAGTAGAGACGGGGTTTCACCATGTTGACCAGGATGGTCTTGATCTCTTGACCTTGTGATCCACCCGCCTCAGCCTCCCAAAGTGCTGGGATTACAGGTGTGAGCCACCGCGCCCGGCCCGGTTATTGTTTTTCAAGAAAGTTTTGCCTCTGAATTCTATCCTCTTGAGGAGTCTGCAATAGTTTTCCATGCCACATAACAAAGTCACAAACTTAGCAACTTAAGACAACACACATATATTACCTCATAATTGTCATGGGTCAGGAGTCTGGGCATGGTTTTGACAGGTCTTCTGCTCAAGATCTCACAAGGCTGCAGTCAAGGCATAGGCCAGGACTGGGTCTCACCTGAAGCCTGGGGTGAAGACTTGGGACCCCTCCTCTATAGATAACAACTTGAACATTACAAAACATTAAATTTTCCTATTTGAGACATTCTGTCAAGTACTGCAAATACCAGTGAAACTACTGATACCAGCTAGTCTGAAGGACCCCACAAGCTCACATGGCTTTTGAAAGAATCCATTTCTTTGAAGTTGTAGAATTGGCCGTGGCTTCCTTTCTCAAAGCTGGTAACAGAGCACCCTCTCTTCAGGAAAGTTCTAGCCGCCCCCCTTTTTTTTAATTTTTAATTTTTAATTTTTTTTTAAAGACGGAGTTTTACCATGTTGGTCAGGCTGGTCTTGAACTCCCGACCTCAGGTGATCCACCCGACTTGGCCTCCAAAGTGCTTGGATTATAGGCGTGAGCCACCATGCCCGCCCTAATTTTTAATTTTTAATTATTTTTTCTTGTGACACAGCCCTCAGGAGGTCCTGAGAACATATGCCCCCCCACACCTTTTTTTTTTTTAATGAGATGGGGTTTCACCATGTTTGCTGCGCTGGCCTCGAACTCTTGACCTCAGGTGATCTGCCCATCTTGGCCTCCCAAAGTGCTGGGATTACAGGCGGAAGCCACCATGCTGGCTCTAGCCCCTCTTTTAAGAGATTTTACCTGATTAAGTTAGGCCCACTCAAGAGAATCTCTTTTGATTAACTTAATCAAGAAACCACTTGCTTATAATTTTGCAAATAGGACATTGTGTATTATCATGCTAACTACTCTCAGCTAAAGAATAACGAGGTTCATAAGACTGGAAAGGAGAGATTTCTTTCTTTTTCTTTTGAGTCGGAGCTTGCTCTGTTGCCCAGGTTGGAGTGCAGTGGCGTGATCTCATCTCACTACAACCTCCGCCTCCTGGGTTCAAGCAATTCTCCTATATCAGCCTCCCAAGTAGCTGGTATTATAAGCATGTACCACCACGCCCAGCCAATTTTGTAGTTTCAGTAGAGACAGGGTTTCTCCACGTTGGCCAGGCTGGTCTCAAACTCCTGACCTCAGGTGATCCAGCCACCTTGGCCTCCTAAAATGCTGGGATTACAGGTGTGAGCCTCTGCACCTGGCTGGAAAGATTCATTTCTCATAAATGGTTGCAGCCTGCAGAATGGCCATTCCAACAGACTGGGAAATGTAGTCTCTGAATAGAAGTCAGAAAGAGGCACTTCAAAGGAAGGGCAAAAGGAGTAAGAATTTATGCTGAACTGAGTGTCCAAATATACATATTTAATAGCTACAGGAGGAGTCATAAATATCTATGAAAAGAGAAACATGCACAAGGGCAACTGAGCTTCATGACTCTTCATGGAGGCATGGGTGGAGTTTTCAGCCCTCTGATGTCAAAAGATGAAGCATCAGACGCTAAAGGTACTCAATGTGCATCCTCTCTAGACTGGCCAGAACCACTCCATGGTCAGTGGTCTATTAACAAGAAGGAATGCTAGTCAATTGTTGTGTCTGATTGTTGTGTTGAAAACACAAAAAGGAGTGGAGTGGGTTTTTCTGTTTAACCCCTAGGGAAGAAAGCTTAATGGTGATTAGCAAGGGAGAGGGTATAATGAGGCATTTGTGTCCAACCTCCCAACCCATCGTGGCCTGGAACTCTGTTTTTAAGGTTTCTCTGGGGTCTCCTTGGCCAAGAGGGCGTCAGGATTTTATTTTTCTCACCTCTTTTCTCATCACACCTCAGGCCTGCTGTCTCTGAGAGGGAGGTGGTAGTGTCAATGCTTACCGTGGGACGGGGCCAAACTGCAGGTGAAGGATAACCTGTGCCTCATACTACTGCTCAGGGTCTGGTTTTTAGGAGTCCACTGAAAGAATTAGGAGAAGATGTGGTCAGTGAATTCTGGACGTATAAGTCTCCCACAAACAGTCATTCACTCTCCCCGAGTCTCCTCTGTACTAACCCTACCTCCAACAGACCTGAGGCCCAGCTCAAATGGCACTAACTCCATGGTCTTCTCTGGCTCAACATCTAAAAGAAATCTCTGCTCCCTTGGCACTACCTTTACTTCTCCTGGACATTCCTTTTTGCCCTTTTTATAATTCCATACCTCAAATGGGCACTCAACACTACCCACAAAATAAAGCTTCTCTGGCTGACTTTCTCATTCTCAGTGGAAAAATTTAGTTTGTAAAGTGTTAAGTTTAGGGTAAAGCTGCTTCTTACATATTTTAAGTGTGGCTTAAGGTTTCTCCATACCTAGTGAATGGTAACCTCACTGGATGTGTAAACAAACTGTAACAGGCTCTTGTACCAAGTAGCTGAGTCTCAGCCAATCACAGTAGCCATACTTGAACCATTCACAGGTGGCCAACTGTTCAAATTTGAATTGCGTTCAAGCTTTAACCAATCCACCTGTTTCTATACCTCCATCCTATTTTCTGTATATCACTTTCCTTTTATTGTCCATAAATTTTCTCCCACCACACAGCAGTAGTAGAGTCTCTCTGTATTTATTCTGGATCATGGGGTCTGCCTGATTCAAGAATCTTTCATTGCTCAATTAAATTGTTTTAACTTTTCTTAAGTTTTTCTGTTAAGGTTTTTAGATAAACTCTATCCCCTCTGTGCTCCGTTAATAATTTTATTTTATGCTTCATTTTTTAAAAACCACTAATAGGTCCGGGAGCAGAATTGCTTGAACCCAGAAGGCAGAGGTTGCAGTGAGCCAAGATCATGCCTCTAGCCTGGGCAACAGAGCAAGACTGTCTCAAAAAAAAAAACATTATGAGATATGTATAATTTTTTGTGTGTTTTGCTCATCAGCTATTAGTGTATTTTATGTGTGGCCCAAGATAATTCTTTTTTCAGTGTGGCCCAGGGAAGCCAAAAGATTGGACACCGCTAACCTAGACCTTTCCTGAGCTTCAGTCTTGTATATCTTTTTTCTTCTTCTTCTTCTTCTTCTTTCTTTCAGTCTTGTATATCTACCTGCCTACCTCACATATCCACTCAGATATGTGAAAATAATTAATAGGGAGGGCATTAGGCCGTGGTTGCTCCAGAGTCTTGGGTTCCTACTTAAGCAAACTAAAAACACAATTCATTATAAATAGTAAGACAAAATGACTGGGCATTGTGGCTCATGCCAGTAATCCCAGCACTTTGAAAGGCCAAGGAGGGTGGATCACCTGAGGTCAGGAGATTGAGATCCAGTTGGCCAACATGGCAAAACCCTGTCTCTCCTAGAGATACAAAAATTAACCGGGTACAGTGGGGGGGTGCCTATAATCCCAGCTACTGGGGAGGCTGATGCAGGAGAATTGCTTGAACCTTGGAGGCAGAGGTGGCAGTGAGCTGAGATCACACCATTGCACTCCAGCCTGGGTGACAAGAGCAAAACTCCGTCTCAAAAAACAAACAAACAAACAAACAGTAAGACAAAAAACAAACAGAGAAAAAAACCCAGTAAGACAAAACTTAACCGGTTAGAAACCACCAACCAACCTCTCACTAAGGACTCTCCACTGGACCACACCTAAAGAGGGCAAAGGCTTAGCTACAGCCAATCAAGTAATTATTTCCACATTCAGCCAATAAAGTTCACTTCCTCTGCTGCTGGTGGGGAGCTCTCTGAACTTTTGAGTGCTGCCTGATTCACGAGTCATTCTTTGCTCCAATAAATTCTTCTAAATTTAATTCATCTAAAGTTTCTCTATTAACAGGTGTTGGCTGGGTGCAGAGGCTCACTCCTGTAATCCCAGCACTTTGGGAGTCCAAGGAGGGTGGATCACCTGAGGCCAGGAGTTTGAAACCAGCCTGGCCAACATGGTGAAATCCCATTGCTATTAAAAATATAAAAATTAGCTAGGCAAGGTGGCATACGCCTGGAGTCTCAGCTACTCAGGAAGCCGAGGCAAAAGAATCCCTTGAACCTGGGAGGTGAAGGTTGCAGTGAGCTGAGATCGCACCACTGCACTGCAACCTGGGTGACAGAGCAAGACTCCATTTCAAAAACAAAAACAGATGTTAAATTTTTCATTTGTATGTGCCAGATATTTTGTATTAGTCTTTCCAGATCTTGTTTCTACCTCTCACTACCCTATTCCCTGCCCTTAGAGGCTGATTTTTATGAATTACATCAGTGGACTCCCTTGACTTCTGGCTTCTGGTTGGGTTTGGCCAATGGAGGTCAGAGGAAGAGGAAATAAGGTAATTTCCCTGGGTCCTCCCTGCAAGCAAGGTCACCTCAGGATAAAGTGTCCTTGACTGACATCAGTGCTTCTTCAGAGTATACATTTTTCTCTTCATTTCAGGTTTCCCTCTTATTCATTTCTTTTTTTTTTGAGATGGAGTCTTGCTCTATCTCCCAGAGTGGAGTACAGTGGTGTGATTTGGCTCACTGCAACCTGCGCCTCCTAGGTTCAAGTGATTCTCGTGCCTCAACCTCCAGGGTAGCTGGGAATATAGGCATGTGCCACCATGCCTGGCTAATTTTTGTGTTTTTGGTAGAGATGAAGTTTCACCATGTTGGCCAGGCTGATCTTGAACTCCTGGCCTCAAATGATCTGCCCGCATCGGCCTCCCAAGGTGCTGGGATTAAAGGTGTGAGACACTGGGCCCAGCCCCTATTTCTTTCTTTATAGCCTAGGAGTTATTGCCTTTTCTCATGTAAAAACCTAAACTCTGGCCACATCTTTGTAAGTAGTCCCTTTGTTAAACTCTTCTGGGATTATTTTGAGTGTGTCATTGATTTACCTTAGATACAATGCCTCTGGTAGTCTGAATAATGGTCCCAAAAATATCCAGGTCCTAATCTGTGGAAGCTGAGAATGTTACCTTGTCTGGCAAAGGGACTTTGTAGATATGATTAAGTTAACCTTGAGATAGGAAGACTATCCTTAATTATTTGGTGGGCCCAATGTATTCACAGGGTCCTCACTAGAGGGAGGCAGAAGGATTTTAATAGGAAATGACATGACAAAAGCAGAAAGAGCTTTGAAGATGCTGTGCTGCTGACTTTGAAGATGGAAGAAGGGGCTGTGAGTCAAGGAATGCAAAGAATGTAGATCCAGAGGCTGGAAAAGAAGGCAGCGAGGCCTTGCTGTGTTCCTCGGTTTTGGCGCTATGAAATTATTTTGGACTTCTAGCCTTCACATTTCTGCTGTTTTAATCCACTAAATGTGTAGTAACTTCTTACAGCAGCCATCGGAAATTAATACAGTGCCCAAAATAGAACTTTCGATGCTGTGTGCAAATTGGCTCCTTCCTATCTTGTCCACTTGGTTGTTTAATGTTTTTATTTTTGGAGACAGAGCCTCTCTCTGTCACCCAGGCTGGAGTGCAGTGGTGTGTGTCCGACCTACCCTCTGCGGGACGACTGAGCTCGTTCGGACCGCAGGTTAGAGGAAATTCCTTAAGTTCAGGCTTTATTGAGAGGAAAGAGCCTCCGGGCGAACCAGCCAGGAGGAAGAGGAAAATGGCCGCGCAGCTCAGAGGAGCAGGGCTCTTTTATAGGGGGGCTGAAGGGCTGAGGGAGTGGGAAGGCCAGGGGAGCTGAGGTGGCGGACAACGGTTGGTCAGTTTAAACCGCTGGGCGGGGAAGCCGGGCGGCAGGAAACTGGGAGGCGGGAAGCCGGGCGGCGGGAAACTGGGAAGAGCTAATGAGGCGGGCGGTGATTGGTCAACCCGTTGCCTGGCGGGAGGTGGCTGCTGCCGGGCGGGAAGGCTGGAGCGGTATGTAGAGTGAGAGATAAGGGAGCCTCTTCGTGGGGGAGGGAAAGAGAGCTTTCACGGTAGGGGCAGAGTTTTCCAAACAGTGTGATTGATCTCAGCTCACTGCAACCTCTGCCTCCCAGGTTCAAGCAATTCTGCTGCCTCAGCCTCCCCAGTAGCTGGGATAACAGGTGCGTACCACCACACTTGGCTAAGTTTTTGCGTTTTTAGTAGAGATAAGGTTTCACCATGTTGACGAGGCTGGTCTCAAACTCCTGACCTCAAGTGATTTGCCCTCCTCAGCCTCCCAAAGTGTTGGGATTACAGGTGTGAGCCACTGCGCCAGGCCACTTGGTTGTTTAAACAAGAGATTTTATTCTTCCATTTTCTGTATGCTTTATTTCCAATCCATCACCAAGTTCTTTCAATTCCATGCCCAAAAATATATCTTGAATATCTCTACTTCTCTTCAATTTTCTGGAGCATGGCAGAAACACAATAACCATGTAAACAGTGGCTGCATGACTGAATCTTCCTTACTTCCATTCCAAAGCTTCAATAATTAGTCAAATAATTGGCTTGTCTTGGTTCTTTTCCCTTAGGCCTCCTACAATCTGTTCTTCGCATTACAGGGAAATTAATCTTTTCAAAACTGTAAATTAAATCAGATTATTCTGTAGCTTAAAATCCTTTTACTTATTTCCCAATGGACTTTGAGTCAAATTCAAATGCTTCATTGTGCACTACAAAGGCCACCTATGTTTTGGAAGTTGCCTATCTCTCTATCTTCTTTTGCCTCTCTCTTGCATCCTAAAAATGCTGCAGCTTTTCCCCCGCCCCCCACCGCCTTTAGAGTTGAGACATAAGACATTTCCTTTGTTGAGAAAGGTCTTTGTTTAACTGGCAATTTAAGGTTTCATCTTAAAGATCACACCCTTGCCGGGCGCAGTGGCTCACGCCTGTAATCCCAGCACTTTGGGAGGCCGAGGCGGATGGATCACGAGGTCAACAGATCCAGACCATCCTGGTCAACATGGTGAAACCCCGTCTCTACTAAAAATACAAAAAATTAGCTGGGCATGGTGGCATGTGCCTGTAATCCCAGCTACTCAGGAGGCTGAGGCAGAATTGCCTGAACCCAGAAGGCGGAGGTTGCGGTGAGCCGAGATCTCACCATTGCACTCCAGCCTGTGTAACAAGAGCGAAACTCAAGATCACACCCTTAGCCAGGTACGGTAGTTTGCGCCCATAATCCCATTAGTTTGGGAGGTCCAGGAAGGCGAATCATTTGAGCTCACTTGAGCCCAGGAGTTCAAGACCAGCATAGGCAACATGGCGAAACCCCGTCTCTACAAAAAGAACAAAAATTAGCCTGGCCTGGGCACCTGTAGTTCCTAGCTTCCTAGGAGACCGAGGTGGGAGGATCCCCTGTGGGAGGGGTGGGCAGAGGGAGGATGCAGTGAGCGGATCTTATCAGCAAGACTCCTTTTCAAAAACAAAATCACGCCCCCCTGAGGCTTTCCTTTACCACCCAACTCCACCTTGATTACTCACTCTGTCGCAGCTCCCTTGTAGTCCCTTTCCAGCGTAAATCGCAACTGTTTGTTAGTGAATTCCATGACAGTAAGAACCTAGCTTTTGGTTTGGCACATAATGGTTAAATGACTCGAGTACTATATTTGGCTAGACCAAAATTATTTTCCTTATCACTTTGTGAGCAACTTGAGGGCAGAGTCCTTAATTATTCGAGTTTGTTGACCTCTAGGGGAGTTAGTCCAGTACATGGTCTAGAATTGCTCATATCTGCCTTTTCAAAAATGAATCAAGTACAAGGATAAAGATGTGGACAGGAGCGCAAGAAAGAGAGTAACGAAGATGAGTAGTTTCAAGGAAAAGTCAACCTAGAAGGAAACGTGAGAAACCAACTGCAGAAGACACCCATTTCAAGTCATCAGCAAGGCTGTACCTCCTCACTAGACGTCAGAGTAGACGTCAAGAAACTGAACTAACGCTTCTCGCGAGAGGAAAGATTGGCCGCTCGCAAGCGTACGTCAGCTGGTGCCCCGCCTTCCCTGGGCCCCACCCACTCCCTGTCCTCACTCCCACCTCGAACCAGCCGTTTGGGCGTGTGACGTCATGGCGCTGTGCGTGGCCGTGGCGGCGGCGCAGGGGGCGGGCTCGCGGCGCAGCGCCGGAGGAGGAAGTGGTGAGGTTGTTGCTCCCTCTGCGCCCACCACTGGCTCTTGGGGCGCAGAGAGGGGCCGCGGTCTCCGCGGCTGCGTCGCGCTCCCTTGCAGTCCCCTCCATGTTCCCCGGCGCCACAGCTTCCCTTCCTAAGGCCACCGCTTGCCCCGGGGTCTATGGAAGTAATGGAAGGACCCCTCAACCTGGTGAGTGTCCCACAGCGTCTGTCTTGGGTGCCTTCGCCTCAGGAGGCCGGCCCCGTCTCCGGCGCGTCGGCTAACCTTAGAAGCCGGGGGGTTGGTTTGGCAGGGGTGGGCGGTTTGGCAGGTGTGGTCGCAGAGGCTCTGAGTGGGTGCTAGGCAGGCCCTGGCCGAACTGCGGCTCCAGGCCAGCCACTTCGGACTTTGCCCTCTTGGGGGATCCCCGGGAAGCTCCTGGCGCTCCCTACTGCGGGGCCCTGGGCGAGGGGATGCCAGCAGCCGGGGCTGCCACCTCCTCTCTGGCTGGGGGAAGTCCTCCTAACGCCACGTAGCCACCCTGCCTACAGCCTGGAGAGGCACTGAAGCCGGCCAAGGCAGAAATGGTGTGTGATAGTGATTTTAAGTTCAAGCAGGAGGGTCTAAGACGCCCCGCTTTGGAGAAAGGAATGAATAGCCTCCTCACCCCTCACTTCTCCCTCATTTCTCACATACATTCACATGCATAAACTGAGTCTTCTCCCAACTATATTAGAGACAGCTGGGGAAAAACAGCCATTGTTGTTGATTGATGGCTTAAATTGATAAATCTGAGATTAAAAAAATCATCCTGTTTTTAGCTCAGATTTATCAATTTAGGCATCATTAAAGTGTAATAGATATTTGCTGTTCTCAGGAAAATGCTGGTAACCTGTTTACTTACGTTTTAAGGCGTTTCAGGTGTTGCAATTAGCGAAAAGCGGAACCCCACTAACACCAGGAAACACGAATTCTTTCCAGACTGGCCACAGCATCTTTTAGTTTCTCAGAGAGGTTACCCATTTTGGATTCAAAAGTTAGATTACTAAGGTTGCACACAGGAAGAACTTTTAAGTCGCAGGTTTACAATTCATTGCGATGGTGGTATTGAAAAAAAGCGCTATAGAGGATTATTTTCTCAGAACTCTGAGCCCTAGTAAAGCAGTAGAGCCTGGTGGCTTAAGACTGTAGGTTCTGAAGCTGTGCTGCTTGGATTTGAATTCTAACCTTGTCACTTGATAGCTATGTTACCTTGGGCGAACTACTTGACCTCACTCTGCTTAAGATTTGTTGTCCGGATTAAAGGAGTAAATAGGTATAAAGCACTTAGAACTGTAATAAGTACATAGTACAGTGAAAGAGTTAGCGATTATAACCAGACCATAAGCCCTTAATTTAAAATCTATTTGTAGAATAAAGGTTTGGACTTGAGCTTTAAAAGTGTAAGATTGGACCAAATCACTGGTGCCAGGTTAGCTGCTGTGTGGAGCCCCTCCCAGTTTTAAGTTGGGCCCTGCCCCAGGTGGTAAGAGTTATTTACACTTAATAACTTTTACCTGTAGAATTGGACTACATTTGTGAGGTTTTTTTTTTCTTTAATTTTTATTTATTTTTAAGACTAGGCAAGTGCAGTAGTGAGAAGCGGGGAAATAGTAGAACAAGGAGTTTGATCTGCAACTGACTGAACAATCAGTTGAGATAACTCACTACCTTCGGACCAGCCATTTGTGATTTTTTTTTTAAAACCAGGGAACTGGCCAGGCACCGCGGCACGGCTCATGCCTGTAATCCCAGCACTTTGGGACGCCGAGGCGGGTGGATCAGGAGCTCAGGGGTTTTAGACCAGCCTGGGCAACATGGTGAAACCTGGTCTCGACAAAAAAATACAAAAATAACCTGGCGTGGTGGTGCCTGCCTGCCGTCCCAGCTACTCGGGAGGCTGAGGTGGGAGGATCACTTGAGTCCGGAGGCGGAGGTTGCAGTAAGCCAAGATCGTGCCACCGCACTCCAACCTGGGCTAAAAAGCAACTCTGACTCTAAATAACCAGGGAACTGTCTTGCACTTTTGTTTTTAAGGTGACATGTAGTTTGCAATGAAATATGATGGATGGCTCAATACTGAAACTTCATAGGAGTGTTACTAGAAATAATCAGCTGTTTACAAAGTGCTTCAGAGTTCAGGTGTCCTTGCAAAATGACCATTGGTTCAGTTCCAGTAGCTTCGCTTTATTTGGCTGCGGCATAACCCCAGCCAACTGCCCCACTAGTGTGTGGTGTTTTATGAGAAGACTGGAACTGGGTGACAGTTGTAGATGGAACTGCAGAATCACTACCAGTTTAGGGAAAATTAGTTAAATGGTGACAAGACTGTTTAAATTCTCCTTTAAAAAAAAAAAAAAAAAAAAAGACGGGGATTCACCATGTTGGTCAGCCCGGTCTTGAACTCCAGACCTCGGGTGATCCGCCCGCCTTGGCCTCCAAAGTGCTTGGATTACAGGCATGAGCCACCACGCCCGGCCTAAATTCTCCTTTTTATAAAACTGAGTTAATGTTGACAGAGTCTTTTAAGCAGGCTAGCATAACTCTGAATTCCAGCCATAAAATGTATGTGGGTAAGTATCAGAAATTTGGCACCTTGAATTCTTAAACCATTTGAGGCTTGAAAGATCTGATTTCCAGCATGATTGTTTATTGGAAGATGATAATAGAACAGACATTGACAGTTACTTGAATGAGGACCAATTACAGGCCTCTGGCATTCAGGATTGTCACTCAGTTTTATAATATGGGAATTTTTGGAAAATTCTGACATTCTTTTATGTCAGTGAACACCTAATATCTAGTTGACTCAAGATGAGAGAGAGTTCTCAATGCTATAATTTGAATGCCTTTGAAAATTCCATTAATATTATACAAGCTTTTTTTTTTAAATACTCAGAGTTGCTAATGCATTAATCTTTGTCTAATGACATCATAGTGTATTCCAAATTCATTGTATATAAGGACTCATGGTACATGAATTTGTAATCATGTGTCCTCACAGCATCCTCGGAACTTAGTAAGATGTGTTTTCTAGTTTTACAGATAAATAAGCCTAAACTGAGAGAATTAGGTACTTAGGTCAGTGACTTAAATACATTATGAATCATGACTTATTTTGATACCAAGACCTCTTGAATAGTAATGCTGCCATATGGTACTCATTCATTTCAATGTGGTTCTCATCTATTACTGAACTGTAGATTCTGTGTTAGCATTTAGTACCTCTGCTCCAGTATTGATCCTCAGAAATTCCTCAGTGAATTTTTAATATCTGGAAGAGACTAGTTTGAAATATTCATTTTAATATGTTCCACAGATAATGCATTCTAATTCTCTGGTTGAAGTTTGTCAAAAGAAAAATTCTTCTGGAGAAAAGAATACCTAGTCTTTGCACTCTGAATAAGTTTGTTTCATTAAGGTTTTTTGGTCAATTTTTCTTTTCTTTTCTTTTTTTTTTTTTTTTTTTTTAAGACTGGGTTTTACTGTGTTGGCCACGATGGTCTGGATCTCTTGACTTCATGATCTGCCCTTCTCAGTCTCCCAAAGTGCTGGGATTACAGGCATGAGCCATCATGCCTGGCCTTGTCTATTTTTATTTAAGAGGCAGAGAGTCTTACTCTGTTGCCCACACTCAAGGGATCCTCCTGCCTTAGCCCTCCCCAGTAGCTGGGACTACAGCTTTGTACCACCATGCCCAGCTAATTTTTTTAAAAAACTTTTTGTAGAAATGGGAGTCTTGCTGTGTTGCCCATGCTGATCTTGAACTCCTGGCCTCAAGCAATCTTCCTGCCTCAACCTCTCAAAGTGTTGGAATTATAGGGTGTGCCACTCTGCCCAGCCTGTCAATTTTAAATGGGAAAAAAATATGACTTACAATTACTTAGTGTATATTTAGGTATTTAATTCCACATACTTTGTGTGACTGTTGGTAACAAATGTCAAAACTCGTGTGAAATAATTTCTAGTACTTTGATTTGCTGCTGATTTGGAAAGTGACGTTAGACCTTAATTTGTATGTGACTATTGCTCATGTTTTGCTCGCCTCTGCTGCAAAAGACAGGGTCCATGTGACTGCCTGGCCACAAACATTTTCTATGTGTTTAGCCCTTAAGAGTGCTGAGAATGTTTGAGTAACAGCTTCCCTCCAGAGTGGTCAGTTCTTAAATCACATGAGGGAGTTAATGAAGCAAGCCTCTTGCTTTCCAGCGCCTGTAAGAAAAGTAGTCAGATATCGTGGTCCAAGGAATGACCATGTACATGCCTGGAGCCCTTATAACTATCCCTTGTTAATTATGTTGGCTTTAAAATCTTCAAGGTAAAAAGAGGCAATTTGAACCCCTTCTTTGTTGCCCTGAAAAATTCCAAGGAAAATTTATTTCTTTGTCCCAGGCTGGGCATAATGGAAGCACTCTGGAAAAAGGAGGTAGAGAGCACTAAGAGATATCCAGCAATTATTGCTAAGGAATGGGATTGGCATTGGACATGTTACGTATATTTTCCTCTTAATAGCTAAATATGAGATATTCCCCCCATTTTATAGATGAAGACTTTGAAATGCCGGGTAAGTGGTGATAGTGGGATTTGAAAGGAAGATTAGGCTGGGTACGGTGGCTCACACCTGTAATTTGAGTACTTTGGAAGGCCAAGGCAGGTGGATCACTGAGGTCAAGAGTTTGGGACCAACCTGGGCAACATGGTAAAACCCCGTCTTTACTAAAAATACAGTTAGCTAGGTGTGATGTCGTGTGCCTGTAATCCCAGCTACTCGGGAGGATGAGACAGGAGAATCACTTGAACCCGGGAGGCAGAGGTTGCAGTGAGCAGAGATGACACCATTGCACTCCAGCCTGGGCAAAAAGGGCAAAATGACGTCTCAAAAAAAGAAAGATTCAAAGTAGAATATTGAGCTTTCTATAAATCAGTGTTTATGTGTTTTGATTGTGGTCCACATAGAGAAATTTTTGCAGAATTACAGCACATACAGAGTATTACTATAGAGCTGCTCCATTGTAGAAAATGGCTCCTGGAATTGTGCAAAACTGCGGGGCTCTCATAAACTTCACCAAAAACAAATTAAAACTTTTTGCTGTGCGTGATGAACTCTAATATTTACAATTAGATATATATATTTTTTTTGAGACGGAGTTTTGCTCTTGTTGCCCAGGCTC